TTCCTCAGGGGTCACATGGGCTTGGGAGGAGCCCCTGGCTCCTTTCTCTTATCAGCTCCACCTATATAAAGATAAGTCAAAGGTCCTGCTTGATCCTGGTTGGCTTCACTTGGAAGCATGGAGGAAATGATTCCTCTGTGTTGACCCTCCTCTTTATAGACTCGACACTGGTTCAAGTCCATCTGGTAGGGTCTCCTCGGCCTCCTTGATCAAGAGGACAGGTGACCCACCACCATTATAGGACATTTTGAGAGATGCTCATAGTCCCCTGGAACTAGTCGACCTAGGAGGGCAGGGAGCAAAAAGTGTCCTTCATGTCCCTCTGACCAAATTATAGACCTCAAAGTATGTCTGTTAAACACCCAAGAAGGTTAGTTCCACCAGTCTGGTATTTTTAATTACTGTGTGTCATGTAGATAAATCTTGGGCGAAGACCAGTTCTCAGATAAACCTTACCTAGACATATATTTCTTTGTCAGTAGGGTATAGGAGTAATATGGTTCTCTCTGGTTTTCAAAACTAGCTAGGCATTGTTTATCTCTCACATGTCTCCCCCCTCCATCATGGTTTTCCCACTTAAAGTGCCCCCATTTCCCCCCCTTCTCCCTTACTAATACCCTTCTCCTATGGTCCTACCTCTCTTGAGCTCCTGCTTTCCTTTAGTACTTTAAATCTTGTCTGTTCAGGCTTTCACTTGTTTCTAGACTATTTACATAAGAAGCGTTGTAGGTTTTTTTTTTTTTTTCTGTCCCTAGCACAGTGTCTGGCACAGGGTCTAAAATCTAAGTGTGTAATTGATGAAATAAATGAATTTCAGTGTAAAAGCAAGACAGTACTTACTCATACAGGAAGGATGCAGACTGGAAATCAAGAACTCTCATAGAACCGCAAAGGACCATGGCTACAGGGACCTGAGTTGCCATCTGTGCCAGCTCCTCATTCTGTGGAGAAGAGGGAATAGAGTTTCTGAGTGACTTACCCCAGAATCAGAGGGAATTGGGTCAGGGCTCAGGTCTGTGGCTTCAGGTCCTGTTGGGTTCAATCAAGCCCACAGCTTGAAGGGCTGGTAGGATAGATGAGTTCTGCCTTCCTTTGAGTGATGGGACCAGTGAAGCCTATCTCTTACCCTAGGGTACATGCCACCCTTCTTCTCCCTCGCTAAGTACAGCTGTGAGACCACTGAGATGTTCATTGCCATAGACTCAAGCCTTTTGAAAAAATATTTTATTTATTATTTTTATTTTATGGGTATGTGTGTATTGCCTGCATAGCTGTAAGTGTACCTGTGTCACGCAATACCCACGGAGGTCAGAAGACAGCTTTGGATTCCCTTGGAACTGGAGTTACTGACAGTTGTTAGCTTCCATGTGGGTGTTAGGAATAGAACCCAGGTCCTCTGCAAGAGCAGACACTGCTCTTCACAACTGAACCATCTCTCCAGCACAACTCAAGCTTTTTAAAGACTATTTGAGTGCAATTTTTTTCTCTTTAGGTCTAAACCCCAATTTTATATCAGAAAGTTTTTCTGTTCACTTTTGAAGCATGAAAAGGGTATGTTGAGCAGGCTGGGGAAGGAGAAGGAATTGAAACATCCCAGCCTTTGATGCCATGCTGCCCAGCAACACAGAAACCACTGCAAGGCCCTTCCTACCTCCCCTGCTCTCCAGCCTTTCTTCCAGGCAGGGGAGTTGGATCTTCAGAAGCTTCTGTGATGTCTGCAGCCACAGCACAAGGTGAAGGGACATGTAGATCAGTGGTGGGGGCCGTACAGGAGCAAAGCATGACTAGAAGGACTGCTTGTGGGACTGGAAAAAAGTATAGAAAGTAAGGACAGAGGTATCATTCTAGAACGTTCTTTATAATAAATGCTGTAACAGACTTAGCTATTCATTCATTTATTCATCAAAACTGCCATGTCACTCTCCTACTTAAAGCCCATGCTCCCTTCCTATTGGCTTGATGGTACAATTATAACTCCTGGCTGTGTGCCTGTAGACACGGATCTTTCTACTTCTCCAACTCATTTCCTGGGTCTCTGCCCTTTGCCTCAGTTTCTTTGAATTATCTCTACTTCAGGGCCTTTGCATTTGATCTTCCATCTGCTTGAAATGCTCTCTCCTCTGTTCCTTGCCACTCTTCATGTCCTGACTTGAACTTCAGGGAACTCTTACTGAGGACTCTGTCTACAGTGGCCTCTTGGTACAGCTGCCTCTCTCATCACACCATCCATGTTTTCTTCATAGCATATATAGAATCTGAAGTGATTTCTTTATATAAGACTATGAGATCCACAAGAGTATAGAGAACTTGTCTGACTTACTCAGTGTGTGCTTGGCACACAGTAGGTGCGCATGAAATACTGTTGAATGAATGAAGCATCTACATGTATCAGTTGCAGAACTGAGAAGAAATCAGCAACTCTAGGAGTATGAGCTAAAATGGAACAGGATTTTGTCATTGCATCAACTCCATATCTTGATTTCTAAATTTGTCTTGTAGCATAGTGTTCCAAGACCCATGCCCTGGTCTAGGGAGAGCCCCAGGTGACCACATCAAGTAGTCAGGCTCTGTGGTTTGCCTCCATTGCTCATTTGCATTTTTATCACAGCACTAGCTTGTCCAAATTATCAGGACTTTTACTGCAATGTTGTAGTTAGGTTGGACTGGAGCTAGGTCTAGTACATCTGTGTGCACATTTCAGGATACTTCCTATTTTGATGCTAGATTAGGCATCATTGGAGCAGGATTCTAGCGTGGGTCTGAAAGCTTCAACACAGAGTGCCAACCATGGTGGCACTTCATCAAGGTGGAAACCAGGAGAGGCAGATGACACTGCAGGTCCATGCAGGGCCAGGCCCCTAGTGATCTTGGCAACTGAACTCTAGCTCTTTTCCTGGGCCCCACTACTGGTAAAGTCCTGGAACGGGGGGAAATAGGGCTTGTCCCATTGGCACATCCCATCCCTCTGTCTAGGGCACCTGACTGCTAAGGAATGTGATGACCCTTGTCTAATGTCAGCTCTCCTCTGCAGAGTTCTGGCCCGTGGTTGTGCAGTCCAAGGGGCTGGATGGCATGCTGGACCCAAGCTCAGCTCAGTGTCTGGGCCCAATAACAGTTTTCCCAAGGGAGCAGCTTTCTGTCCTGGACACTCTGAGGTAAGTACCTGTGAAACAGCTGCCTCACAGAGGTTTTGAGCTCTGCAGCTGCTGAGATTAGAGGCAGGAAGTAACATGACATTTGGAAATGAGTTGCAGGCTGAGGAAGGATGGTCAGACCCCACTGATTGGCAGGAGCAAAGACTCTTAGAGATAATGCAAATGAGGCCTGTTCAGAAAGGAAGTCTTCTTGCCTTATGGCTTTTAGGTATACAGCAAGAGTCACCAAACCCAAGACCTCAAATAGAAGGACAGCATTGGTCAGACAGTCCATACAATTCACCTGACCGTTTGAAACAGATGACCTTGTGAGACAGACGGTCTGTGGTCATTCTATGTGCCTATGGCTGGAGGAGTGGGAAAGGTGTGGAAGAGTCCCAGATCTGGATAACAGTGGGCCTGGCTCTGATTTCCACCTCTACCAGGTGCTTAGGACCAAGTGACTCAATCTTACTATCTTCTGTTTCCTCAGCTACAAAAAGGGAGTAACACAGCCTCACACTTAGGTGTATTGTGATGGTGAATGAGACAGTCCTGGCCAGTCTCAGTCATTATTATCTCACCTCATTCATTTTTAGGATGTGTCTTTAGGCACTCAGCCCAGTTGCCATGCTGTAGCTAACACACCTATGCTAAAGGACTCCAGCCATCCCACAGGTGCTTGACCACATGTTTTCAACATGAGCATCTTTATGTACTTTTTGATCAAGACATACTTTGATCAAGGTCATGGATATCTAAATGATGCTCAGAAATCTGAGATGTCAGGCATAAAAGCAATCAAACATCTGAGTGTTCCCTTGTGTCTGGATTTGTGGTACCATGGAGGCAAACCCATAATCTAAAATTTCATTTAGATTTTAGAGAAAGTAAATACATCCCAGGATCTATAAATCACAGAATGTAGGCAGCCCCCAGCCTTTCTACTCAAAAAGATGCAGAGGCTGAGCAGCAGGCCAAGTGTTTCTAGGCTGACAGCCATGTGCTAGTCACATGACCCCAAGTCCCTCAGCCCCTCTCAAAATGTGGCCCCCAGCATCACCTGGGAACTTCTTAGAAATGTTTTTTCTCCAACCTCAGCCTATAGAATCAGAAATTTTACAAGTAGATGACACTGTCTGGTTTAACAGACTCTCCAGGTATACCAGGTGTCCTGAAGTTTGAGAGCCTCCAGATCTCCATTTCTGATGTTACTTACAAACTAGGCCTCCTTCCCATGAGTCCTGTCTGGGCAATGCCAGTAGAGGTTCCGCACTGTGCTCTGTCACTGCTCTTCTATGTTCAGCCCAAGACACCTCAGTGATTTCTCCCCGAGCAATTATGGAACCACAAAATTTCTCTCCCACTCCACACAGGCTTCAGCAACCAAGCATCCCCGAGTTGTACAATGGAAGACAGAAGCCAGTTTACATTTAGAGCAGAGGCTAAGTGTAAAGCAAGAAATAACCCTAGACCCCCTGTCAGAATGTGGCCAGTGAGATGGAGAAGGCTGGATTTCTTAAGTCACAAGAATTTTCTCTCTGACCAACACTTAGTGACCCAGATTCACAGATCTGATCTCCAGCCCAACTTGGCACCTGTCTCCAAGGGAGAAATTTTTCTTCTTCCCTTCTGTAAGGCGCCCTTCCAGGCCTGGCTGGCAGGTTTTCCAGTAACATTAGCCATGTTCGATACAAGTACTAGCTGGGACCAACTGCTTAGCTCTGTCAGGTAGCTTCATCACTTTCATCACTTATTCAGGTAGGGTGGGACTTGGTGATGATCATTCACCTGGTACAGGAATGTATCCTACTACTGGGGTATATGAATCCATAGAATGTTCTGCTAGTCAAGGAGAGGGGTCCCTCCAGAGGCTGGCTCAAAACCATCCAGCTTCCCCTTTCTTAGTCATTTATCTTCCATTTTGGGTGGGAGGAGGACAAATAAAGAACATTTGTACCTGAAATGGAACCTGCCCTTCATGTGAGCTGCGTCTCCCCAGCTAATTGCTCCTCTTGAAGAAGAGCAAGCTGGACTGTGAAACCACATGGAGTGCAGTCATCTGCTCAGGAGACAGGCTTCAAAGGTTGTCTTAAAAAGAAACAAACTCCTCCTAGCACACTTCAACCAAAGTGAGGATATCAGTCTGTGCCATGCATTGTATCACTAGAATAGCAAACAATACATGTTTATATTTTCTGATGACTACTTTAAAAGATACAACACCATTACAAGTAAAGCAATATTGTTTCCTCAAAATACATTTTATTCTAAAACATAAGAGATCTGTTTGAGACATTTTCAGATCATAATGAAACCGTCTGTCCATGATATATAAATCTCCATTGCCATTGAATGACATGGTAATCTGACTGAGAATTTACAGGTAGCAGTAGACTTTGAACACGTTTTGACGTCTGTTATGTAGAATGAGCATCTGCTAGGCAGAGTAGAAAACTTTACAATTCCTTTTATAAATGTCAGAGCTTGTACATACTTTAAACATCACCTGGGTAGAGAAATTAGAACTCCAGAGGAAAGAGATTTCTCCCCACCCAATGGTTTTTAGAGGTGGAGGTACAACAGGTAACAAAGACCAAGAGTTATTTTACTCCCTCACCAGATAGGATAAGAGAACACAAGTGCCTTAAGAAAGCACAAGTGAAATGTTTTGGGACTGACTGGGGGGCTAGGGTTGTCTGCCTACAGTTAGACAAAGCTTCCCAGAAGAGGTGGCATTGAAGTTGGGTACTGGAAGACAACAGAGTGGATTATGATAGCAGAGGTGGTGCACAGGAAAGAGCCAGAGAAGCTGGCATGGGGAGCATCCCTGAAGGAAGAGCCTAAAAGAAGAGCATGGAGGAGCAAATTCAGGGCAGGACCTTTGCCAGTTATACCTATGCCTAGAATGAAGCTGTATGAGGGAAGCTGATTCCAGGCTGAGCATCCCTTTTGGATGCCTGGGCAAGGGCTCTCCACTGGCTGCTTTGAGCAAGGTGATGCAGTCAGGGCAATGCTTTCAGAAGTCATATGGAGAAGTCAGGGAGGAGGGATTGGAAAAAGAGAGACGAAGGCCCCAGACACCTGTGGGAAGTAGTCCCATGACTTGAGCTAGGGACGCACAAGTAAGATTGGAAAGGAAGTTACAGTTTCAAGAAATGCTGATCCAGCAGAACACAAAGACCAATGGCTAGGAACAGAGTCCAGGGATGGGGAGAGGTTTGGAACTGGTGAATGAAGGCATAATGATTCTAGTAATAGGAAAGGAAAGCATGGAGGCACACATTTTGGAGGCTGAAGAAACAGGAACAATAGAAAAAGTAGCTGTGGAACTGCTTTGTAAGTTGCCAAGTGGTCTAAAATCGAACTCCTGCTACTGAATACAGAGGAAGAAGACTGAGGTGGTAGCGGGAGGGCACGGAGATTTTGTTTGGGGATGTCTTGTATTGCTAGGCCAATATCCATGGAGAAGTTCCCTCAGGAAATCAGAAGTCAAGAGAGAGCTTCACAGGAGCAGGTAGGCTAGAGGTCCAGATATGGGCATCACTAGGTAGGCTAGAGTTCCAGATATGGGCATCACTGGTCTCCATAGAGAAGGATGAGCTTCCTCAAAGAAGCCTGCAGAAAGAGACACTGGGGAACATGGAGCAAGACAGGCTTTGTTTCCATTGAAATCCTCAACTTCAGTCCATTTTCCCTCAGTTAGTCATCCAATTATATAACAGGTGTTACTAATTTGGATATACAAATATGAATTTCAGTTACGTGTCTTCTCCCTTCATTTACTTGATGGAAGAGACTGTATCCTGAGAGGAGAGAAGTGAAACAAGAAAAGAATCAAAAATAAAAGGTTCTATTAGCTGCCAAGAGAATGATCAATGCTCTAAGAGGTGGCTAGAGCTGCTCAACAAGACCATTAGCCATCAGATCTAGTGGGGAATCCAAAACTCAGGTATAACCCCCTCATCCGCTGCATGGCTGGCTGGAAAACAGAGCAAGCAAAAACATTCTTCAGAGGAACCCAAGACAAAAGAATTTGGTTATTTCCTTCTTGGTGTCCCACCAGCCAGCACAGCCTTATAGAAGTCATTGGCTTCAAGCTGCTTGGGAACACAGTGTGTGGTCCTGTGCACCGTCAGGAAACCATGACCATGACGCTGAGCAAAGGCCAGGCTTCTCTGCCACCAGCATTCACTCTTTCCACATTCCCCTTACATTTCTTGAGAACCTGCTGCATTTCAGACACTGTACATGGCCATAGATTGGTTGAAATAGAAGTCACACAGTTTCTAAAGCACAATCGGGAGGGAGACAGTGGTGAATGGATGATATCCACATCACCAGGAGAGGGTGATGCAGTCTGCCATGAAAGACAAGAGAGATGTACACAGGGATGGAGGAACCTGAAGCCAGAGACATGGCTCTGCCCTCCAGAACTGCACAGCCAGCACCCACAGGCCCAAATAGTCGCTTATAAAGAATAAAAGAGGAAGAGCAATGTGCTATGAACACCCATGGATGAAGCGTGCTTAGAGAGTGAACAGTCAGAATAGAATTGAAGATGACAGAGTCCCTGGCCTCAGGGAGATATAATAACTCAGAATTAACACAGATTTTATGAGTACACAGTTGATTCAAACAACCACCCTGGGAAATAATGTTAAAAAACTGTCCACTTTTTAATCAATGAGGAACTAAGGCACAGAAGGCTTAAATGGCTTTTTTTTTTTTTTTTGACAAATAAATATTTGAGCTGGATATCAAAGTTTTCTAACTCCACATCCAATGTAAACTTTATTATATAGATTTAGCAGGAAGGAACACACACACACACACACACGCATATATATATATATATATATATATATGGGGGCAGGCTATTCAGAAGTTCAGAATAGAAAAAGACTTCTTTGGATTGGAGTGATTGAAGCAAACGTCAGGGAGTAGGCTATATCTGTAGCTGGAAAAGTGGATGGGGGACAATGACCCATCAGTGCAGGACCGAGCGATGGGAGAAAGGATAGAATTGGAGACCTGGAGAACAATCTACAGGCCATGCCTCTGAGCCTACCACGATCTTGGAAAAGCTTGACAAAGGAGGTGACATTTGATCCACATCTGTGGGTATGAACAAGAGCTCAACAGAGGCAGGACAATGGTTCCCAGAGCAGAGGTGATTCCAAGATCACTTGACCAAACGATTGGGTTGCAGCACTCGTGAGCAATTGCAGCACAGTCCTAGCTGTGCTCGGGGATCCTGCCATTTGGCCTATCCTCACCCACAAGCACATAATCAAAGGAAAAGACATGCTGAATAATCAAAGAGATAAGGGAGAATAGGTGGAAAGAATTTCAGACTGGCTTCGTGAGGGGTGTTTGGGAATCTCTTTCTGGTCTAGCTTTTGTCATGAATTTAGGCCTGTTAGTTGACACTGTGTGAATCAGCTTTCCTTATATGCAAAAGGAAGATGGCAGTTCCTAACCAGACTCCCAAACTACTGAAAAGTAGACGTGAACACAGGAAAAATGTAAAAACAGCACCTGCTGGAGAGGAACCATTCACAGAGCCTGGAGGTGGGGACTGAACAGAAACAGAACAGAAAGGTCCCTGAGCCACAGCCTTGCTAAATACTATGCTTTGTGGGCTTATAGCAAGAGTTCCTAGTCACCAGGATCAGAGCTACCCCAGGACTGCTATGGGAAGGGGAGTATTCAGCATTGGTGCTTCAGGACCCCTGCCATGTCTCCTAGTACCTCCCCAAGGGAGTCACATTCAAGGTGTAGGTACCACCCATCCACTACTGCCTCAAGCTGGTAGGCAGAGAGCCCACAGGATTCTGTGAGTGATGACTCCAAGCTCACACCAAGTTACTGGGCAGGATTTCAAGGGCTCTGTCACTTCCCAAAACAGGCCAAACGTATTCACTGCTCTGGTTTATCCCAACCGTCCAATTGTAATTGTTGCCAGCGTCCCTTTCCACTCTCCGAAGTGTCCCAGTTTGGATGTTGAATCCAACATGGGGGAGTTCTCCGTGTGTGACAGTGTCAGCATGTGGGTTGGGGATAAGACCACCACCACAGACATCGGGGTAAAGAGGTAACCGCATTGGGAGAGGTGAACATTAATAACAGTGTATTCAACCAGTGAAGTCTCCTGGCGTCCTCTTAGGAGACACTCGGTGAGGGAGTCCAGCAGTGTCCTGACAACACTTGGCCCTACTCCCTGAATAACCCTCCTGTTTGTCATTCCAGGTGCACAGCGTAATGTCCATGTTGTTCTACACTCTGATCACAGCTTTTTTGATCGGTGTACAGGCAGAACCATACACAGACAGCAATGTCCCAGCAGGAGACTCTATCCCCCAAGCCCACTGGACTAAACTTCAGCATTCCCTTGACACAGCCCTCCGCAGAGCCCGCAGTGCCTCTGCTGCACAGATAGCTGCCCGTGTGACAGGGCAGACCCGCAACATCACTGTGGACCCCAGACTGTTTAAGAAACGGCGACTACGTTCACCCCGTGTGCTGTTTAGCACTCAGCCCCCACCCATCTCTTCGGACACTCTGGATCTGGATTTCCAGGCCCATGGTACAATCTTCAACAGGACTCATAGGAGCAAGCGGTCATCCACCCACCCAGTCTTCCACATGGGGGAGTTCTCGGTGTGTGACAGTGTCAGCGTGTGGGTTGGAGATAAGACCACCGCCACGGACATCAAGGGCAAGGAGGTGACCGTATTGGGAGAGGTGAACATTAACAACAGTGTATTCAAGCAGTACTTTTTTGAGACCAAGTGCCGGGCCCCCAATCCTGTTGAGAGTGGATGCCGGGGAATTGACTCCAAGCACTGGAACTCATACTGCACAACAACCCATACCTTCGTCAAGGCGCTGACCACAGATGACAAGCAGGCTGCCTGGAGGTTCATTCGGATTGACACAGCCTGTGTGTGTGTGCTCAGCAGGAAGGCTGCAAGAAGAGGCTGACCTGCCTGCAGCCCCCTTCCCTACCTGCCCCTCCGCACTCTCCTGGACCCCTCCCTACCTCAGCCTGTAAATTATTTTAAATTATAAGGACTGCATGGTAATTTATAGTTTATACAGTTTTAAAGCCATTATTTATTAAATTTTCGAAGCATCCTGTGTACCCGTACCTGAGTCCTTTTTCTCAGTGAGAACACCCACAAGGCCCAGAAGGGTGTGGAATGAATTGTCCCCAGCCACCCCTGGCTCCCTCTGAGGCCCATCTGTAACCCCCACTCCAAGCCTGCACTTCAACTTTAGGGTATTCTAACTGGTTTCAGACATTGCCCTGTGCCAGGCGTGGTTACTAAAGGGAATGGGCCTGCAGGCTCTGGTCTGCATTCCTGAGCCAAATGTACTAAGTCGGTGGATTACCTGCCCACATCTTGGTTCCATGAACCTTGATTGCTTCACTTGGGAAAGGAGGGTAGCTGAGACAGAAGGTAGGTCACTGTGGGTACAGGCTGCCCCTATCATCTGAGAGGCCCAGGCTAGTCCTAGGGAGATACAGGAAACTTGCTCTGTGGAAAAGTGGAAGCTGTACAGACAGCCTTCAGGCTGCTTACTGTCGGAGGCAGATCTGCAGTCTGGAAGAGCTGTAACAAAATCATCTCCTGAGGCCTGTCACGATAGATCTGATTTCATGTTAAGATTGCCTTAGCACCGATGGCTACATCGCCACTATTCCCCAGTGACTTCCTGCAGAAAGACTTCACTACCCCAGGAAAACAGTAGGGCTTCCAACCCTCTTGCCACCTACAAACAACCCCAGTGGCAACTGTCACAGGCCGCCACTTGAGCTCCCAGGCAGCAGGCAGGAAAGAACTTTTGAATACTTTTTAATTCTTAATTGAATGATTTCCACAAGTGACCAGAGATGACTGGGGCTGTGAGTCTTGTAAGGGAGAGAGGCACACAGAGACAAGTATTTGAGAACACAAAGGCCTGAAGATCAGGGGAGAGGGGCCAAGTCAGGAGGGAACAACTGCTTGCTGCTCTACCTGACAGGAAAGGAAACAGGAAAACAGAAAGGAATGCAGGGGCTCTGAGGAAGGAGAGAAGGAAGAGGGAGGTCTGTCTCACCCTCACCAGAGCCTTTGCCTCCAAGACAGTCAGCGTCCTGGGTAGTTTGGGCACACAATTCTTTTTAATGTGCCCATGAGCACTGGTGTGACCCAGCCCCATGCAGCCATCTTTCCCTGTGACTCTCATCCTGTATTTTCCTTCCTGTTTCTCCTTTAAGTGCTTTTAAGAGCACTTAAACATCACATGGAAATTTTATTCTCCTACTCGTACCCTCTTCCCCAAGGATGACATGGCTACTCTCATTTTAAAAGAATACACCCAGATTGTTCAACCACTAGAAAAGGACATGGCTGCATTCATTTCCTCTGCAACCCTTACTGCCCTACCCTACCCCCAACCCATCCAAACAGGGAAAATTGGAAACCCAGGGAGCTTTGGCAAGAGAACCATTTGATTAGGGAAAAGCATAACGAAATATGCCATTGGCCATTGTTTTGTTTTGTTTTTATTTTCTATCATAGCTACTGCAATTGGAACAAAGATTTATGTTAAGAAAACACCAACTAGAACATTCTGTGCTGAGATGCTTGGTCAGATAAAGCCTTGAGAAGGATTGGTCAGATAAAGGGAGCCCTTCCCACTGACCTGTGTTTGTGGGTTTTTGCAGGGCCCTAGTTCCAAGGCCTCAGAAGCCCCAGCCCCAGCTCATGAACAGATCTTGGTGGGAGAGGCTTTCTCTTAGGGTGGAAGAGGCCTGCTAGGTCCTGGAAGTGAGAAGAGTGGTGGTAAGGGAGATGTACCACAAGCTCTCAACAGAGCAGTTCTGCCTCTGAGTGGCTGCACTGGCAAAGCAAGGCTGGTAGGGCAACCCCTGGTGCAATAGGACTCTTGAGACACCTAAAAACTATCTTTGGCTCCCCTAGACTGCTTAGAGAGAAAACCCAGCATCTAAACTTCTGAAGGAGATAGGCTGAGGGCACCTCATTTCCACACAGGCTGCTTCCCTGCAGCTACCGGGAAAGCAAGCCCCTTGTCCCCAGCAACATTACTGCTTCCTCCAAAGGCAAACTCTGCTTTAGGCGAGCCCTGGAGTCTCAGCATGGGAGCCAATGTTTTCACACAGCACAGGGGCCATCAGTTTGGCTGAGCAAAGTGTAAGGAGTCCAAAACCGACCAACGCCTGGGACTTTCCACAGCTTAAACTTTTCCCCTATGCAGAGGGGAGCTCCAGCTCGCAGACTCACCCAGACTTCCCCTTAGAGACCGGCTGCATGGCCAGGGTCCCAGCCACTGGAACATGTGGAAAAGCCAGTTCCAAACTTCCTGTTGCACTCTATAGAGAAGTGGTGATGCACCTCCATGTTTTTCATTGACATGGCTCACTGGAACTTTTCTGCTTGGGTTCTCTCAAAGCTCAGAGAATGAGAGGGGCTCCCTTTTCTCTGGGGCAACTTCCTCTGACAGAGGCATCCTCCAGCCTGCCACAAAACCAGCCTACTATCATCCCTGCTAAGCCAGCCCAGCCTCTCTCCAGGATCTTCTTTTGCTGCCTCTGCTGGAACAGACAGCACTGCGGGGCTGACTCGGTTCAATTCCAAGTTTGTCCCTTGGACATCCTCTCCTCCAACCAGAGCACCAGCCTCCCCCAGAAGTGGCTGCTTTACTAGCATGTCTATATCGTCTGAAGCCTACCATGGCTTCAGAAGGTTTTCAGCATCACCAAGCCTCCAGGCTTATTCCTGTGAACCATGGAAGTATTCCCCAAAGTCTTTAGCACTGGGAGAAGATCTACCCCAGACCTGCACTAGAGGGACAGAAGGCAGGCCACATCTGGGATCCTGGAAGAAAAGAAGTAGACCAAAGAGGCAGAACCAAGGGGAAGTACCGGGTATCAGGAATACATTGACCTCAACGTCTTCCTACTAAACACCAGATCAGAACAGTGCTAAGCACTGGGGTCTCTTATAATCAAGGTCATCAGCTGACCCTGGTAGAGTAGATGTAGCCCTTATGATGGTATAAACTCTGGTATCGAGGGATGGCAGCAGAGCTGGGTCCTAGGGCTGACTCCCTCATTCCTATCTGTGAAACTCTAGCAAGCCACACCTCCTCTTAAGTCTGGCAGTTGTGAAATGAAAATAATTACTGTATCCCAGTTTATGAGCACAGAGGAAAAAAACCATGAAACCAGTTAAGTCCTAGGCAAGGACGAGGCAATGTAATATACCCCAAACTTAGCTGTGAGCAAGCCTGTGCTGATTTAGGAGGGGAATGACCATGTTAAGGCCCACTGGGTATTTGTTTACTGGCCCATACCCAGATTATATAGGGAAGCCTTCTGCTTCCAGTGAGCATCATGGATACAGCTGTGTATATCCAGGCTCAAGAGGGTAAGAGCAAGAAAAGCAGTACCTCAGCTCCAACTCCTGCCTGAATCTCGGCTCTAGAGCCAGAAGTTCTAGAATGTAGTGATTAAGAGCATGGGCTTTGGAGTCACAGGTAAGTCTACTTAGGCTAGACCACCATAAGTGAAGTATTCTTTTCAAATTTATTTATTATTTATTTTTTATTTATTAGTGTGTGTGTGTGTGTGTGTGTGTGTGTGTGTGTGTGTGTGTCTGATGTGTGTGGGTATATGTGCCATGGCACATGTCTGGAGATCAAAGGACAACTTCGTGGATGGAGTTGGTTTTCCTTCCACCTCCAAGTGGATTCTGGGAATCAAATTCAGATTTCCAGGCTTGCACAGCAAGTGCCTTTATCCACTGAGCCAACTCAATAGCCTTTAAGCAAGGTTCCTAAGAACTATTAGTTTCAAGTTCCTTATCTGTGAAATGAGGGAAAGTTATGATGCTTTTCTCAAAAGGCCCAGAAATAATTGAGATTATATCTGTCTATGTATGTGTTTATATATAATATGGAAGTACCTAGAACAAAAGAAGAGTGTAATAAATTTTAGTTTTGGAAATTAGAATTGACTGAAAAACTGTGAAAGGCCCTTAGAATGAGGTAGAATGGTTTTCCACAAGGCAAGGAAGCTCATGAACGTTCAGTATTTAACTATATGATGGTTTCATTCTGACTGCTAATAATGAATGGTACTAATAGTGACTCTCAGCACTTATTAAGAGCTTGCTTCCTATGTGCCAACAGCTTGTGTGGATAAGCTATGAGCTACCCTCCAGGCTTTGAAACTAATAATCACCTTCTGAAGCCAGGAAGGCCATGCTCCCCACTTGCGTGAAGCTCTGCTTTCTCTGGGATGTTTACTCCTCAGTGCTTGGCGCCTTTATCAACCACTGGCTTTATGAGTTTCCACCTGCAAACAAGTGGCCTGTATTTTGCTACATTTCCCGTGGATATGAAATGAAAAACTCTGACCTTGCCAAAGCTCTTCTGGGCCTGCGGAGTGGCTTAGGGGGCCAAGCCCAAGAGTAAGTTGGGCAGCCTGAAGACAGTCCTACCACGACTCTCCCCAGTATAAAAGATGTGCTCCATCTGTGTCCCTTCTGCATCCAGACCCAATTTTGCATGCAGCAGGCACTCAAGCAGTGTTTCAAGACAGGTGAGGCAGTATATCTACCCTATCTCTTTCTCCACCGCCACCAATCCCATCCTGTCTCCTGTCTCCTGCACCTCCCCTACGTCAGCAGTAAATGGAGTAATGGTCTGAATGAAGACGTTTTCTGAGGACACAGCATGGGAGACATCTGGGGTGCTTTCAGAGGATGATGTTATGAAGATTGTGATCAGACTGTCAGTGTCAAAACCTGGCCTCACCATTAGTTTGGATGAGTGGTGCGGGAGAAGCTCCTTATCTCTCCGAACTTCACTTCTCTTTCAAATAAAATGAGAACGATAATGCAAACTCTGTTGTTGTCTTGTGAGACAGAATCCAGCATAAACCATTATATATGAAACGTGTGAATATATACACAACTGTAAGTGCATCTGTGTACAGATGTAAGCATAATGTATAAATACATATCCATGCACAAAGAATGTGTGTGTAAGTATGTGTGTGTAAAAATACTCTTGAGAGCTAAGAAGCACCCAGGAAGTACGTTCTACCCTCTAAGGCCTCTGAATGC